GGACATTGAACGGGAAGCTAAAAATTTTCCTGTGTGGTTAACTGACACGACAAGGAAAGAATTGAGGCGGGTGCTTCTTTTTGTAAATAGCTCTTATATTATTAAGTGTTAATATCTATAAAATATATTCATTTGGGAATAAAACAAAGGACATCTTTAGTCAATATATTTTTGACAACCAAGGTGGTAATTGTGAGAAAGATGTAAGCCAAAAGCCAAAGTGAACCGAAGCAATCTGGAAATTATTACTCCCTCTATCAAATTATTTGGTCTTGTTTCGGGAATTTAATTTTTTTAAAAATAGCAATTTGATTGTAAAGTTTGTACTTCTCATTTCAATTTTATCCTTATAAATTCAAAATTTGAATTTGAATGATAACATGCATATAATTAGAGGGATGGGTTATATTAGAAAAAGAAACTATAATGTATTTTAACTTTTTCAATAGGATAAATATATTGGGACATCTCAAAATGGAAAATAGGATACTTCCAATGGGACAGAGGAGTATTAATTAAGCTTGGTTTGAATGTAATGGAACTGGTTGATTTATCGCCACAAAAAAAAAAAAAAATTGCAACCAACTACAATGTCTTGACTAATAAGGGAAGTGTTATAGAACTGAACGAACCAAATTTTCCAAGAGAATGGAAGTGTTAGTTTCGATTCTCCTCCACCCCTCCTCGCCTGCGGTGTTATACTTTCAAGTATTCTCCTTGAGCCCATCTTGAGTTCATCTCAATTCCACTTGAGTTTTTCTTTCAAAAAGCCTTTTCTTTTCAAAGATTGCAATCACATTTTTGAAAAAAAATTTTTTTGGAACTATGTTCAACTAGTCTCGATTTGCAAGTTTATACCAAACACAATTGGGGTAGTGCATACGAAATTTGACGATTAAATACTACCTACTTCGTTCTTCATCCGCCATCTTCTTTATTTGATTTCTTTGGTGCAAGGCATAACTAGCATCCTTCATTTCTCACGTGTTTCTAGTCAATTAACATATCAATTCATTTTTATTATTTTTCTAATTATCCAAATTAGATGATTAAAAAGAATACATTTTTTCAATATCTTGTTAATCTCTTACAACCTTCCAATAGATTCTTGTTATGCTTTTTAGTGATTGGACGATAACTTATTGACCTCCTACACCCTGCGTGATGAGCATTTTGTGTGATTAGATAGGTGGTCAATATTAAATTATTCAAATAGTCTATTGTCAATAAAAATGTAGAATCTATAATTGCTTATTTGTTTTGATATTTGTGACAAGTGGGATATTTGTTTATATGTCAAGGAAATATATGATCTAATTTAAATGAGCTGAACTTGTGACTTTATTGATTAGAATTGGTGGACTTTCAAGTTATTAATGCTGTTGATACATTCAATCTTGAGAGCTTGTTTAGGCTTGTCTATTAACAAGAAAAATATTCAAAAATTTTGTTTTGGTTATTGAAAAAGTAAGGACAGGCAGGTTGTTAGAATTTGTTGATTATCATAACCAATTTATTGATAAATATATGAATGTATCCTTACATCGATAATCAGTGGAATGAACCAAAACCAAGATTTTTCCTTTGACTAGAGGTTTGTATATTATTAATCCAATTTTATTTGATTTTTTATTTTGTTATTACTTTATTTTATTTAAGGTACTTTAGTTTAAGTTCTCAAACCCCTCCCCCCAACCCTTCCTCTTATTGATAGTTACTACAAAGAAATAAATCAATTAATTCCTATGAGAATGAGTCTACTCATCACTGCACACAAAAGCATTCATGCAGGTATTTTTGTTTTGGCAAAATGATCGGTTTCATCCCTCACATTTTGCAAAAATATTTTTTTTCATTCCTTACTTTTAAAACAAAGCAAATTCATCTTTGACATTTAAAAAATGAAACTATTAAATTCCTGAACTCAACTTTCAATCTGAATCAAATCATCCAGTAGCCCAATAATAAATTTCAGGAGATAGAATTAATAGATCACTCGGTTAACTCTATCACATTCACATGGCATTTATTGAACCAAAAAGAAAAAAAATAAAAATTATAACATAAAAAGGCCATTGTTTGTCTTGGAATAGTAGGGTTTTTTTTTGGGTAAATCTTTTTATGCACCGTTAGTATATACCCTTTGTGAATCTAGATGTATATCATACGTACAAAGTTTAGTATTTAAATTTAAATTGAAATGATATAGCTAACAACTAGACCTATCAATGTATACAATGGCAATGTAAGAAAAATTAAGCCTTCTTTTTTATGTTATAATTTTTTATTTTTCTTTTTTGGGTTCATTAAATTCATGTGAACATCAAGTTGAATTAACCAAGTGATTTATCAATTATACCCTCGAAATTTATAATTAGGTTTGGATTTGAATTAAAAATTAATTTCGGGGATGTAATAGTTTCAAATTTTAAATGTCAAGAATGAATTTGCTTAATTTTAAAAGTGAGGGACGAAAGGAATATTTTTATAAAATGTGAAGTATGAAACTAGCCATTTTCCCTTTTATGTTTTGTAAATTCAATACCCGTCGCCTTATCTGAAAAATCATGCTACGATAAATCCTATTCTTTAGCTTATGGGTATTTTAGACTGTGACTGTAGATAGTGTTTTAAATAAATTTTATTTTTATAAAATAGGAAAAAGATATACCATCCAATTAATAGACCGTAAATTCAAGATGTTTATTTGATGAGGTGACACAATTATTGTTGTTATATTTTTCTTTTCCGAACAAACTTGACGAGAACACATCCAAATGTTTACAGATATATGACTTGTAACACGCTAAGCTAGTTTCTCATAATTGACTCAGACACGGAGGGTTGAGTTGGTAATTAATCATGCACAACTGCTATAGTTGTCTTATAAAGCTTTTAGCGAGTCGAATTGAGCTCAAATTCAAGGTTGAAAATGATTTAATTCTAATTTTTAAAACTAATACATAATCTAGAATAACTATAATTATATTGGTTTTGTTTAGAAAATAAATAATACTAATTTATGCATAATTACTTTGTTGAGGGGATCTGGGTCTGTTTAGTTGGAAGTAAAATGTTTTTCTTGGGAAATATTTTCCGTGAAAGTAATTTTCCATGAAAATCATTTCCCTTTCATCATTTTCAGGTGTTTAGTTAGCTTATTGAAAATATTTTCTTACTTCATTTTTCTGGTGTTTGTTTAACTTTTGAAATATTTTTACTTTTATCTCTATCTTTACTTTCTACACATTATAACTACATACTTCTTCCCATGCAAAATAAGAAAATTTATCTCATTGTTTAACTTTAAAAAATCTTGGAGAAATGTATATATGAATAAAAAATATCTCCTTGAGCAATAAACAAATTGCTGGCCATTTAGTGTCAAATATCGGGCTTGTTTGGAAGTGAAGTTTTTGGCTTAGTTTTTTAGCTACTAGTTTTTTAATAACTTTTGCTACAGAAACCCCAAAAAACTTATCAAAGTTTTTTACCTACACACTTCAAAATAATACACAAAAAACTTTCCCTTCAACTTTTCTTCTTCTTTTTCCTCCCCCACCCAACCGGCCACCACCTCCACCATCGCTTCCGGAGCCGGTAACTATTCCGGCCAACTTTTGCCAGCCTTTCTCTTTTTTTTTCTCTCCCTTCCCTCCCCTTTTGACCGATATGTTGGCTTCAAAATCTCTTTTTTTTTTTTCTTTCTCCCTCCCCCTCCCCTCTTTCCCTCTGCCTTTCCCCGCCACCTTCCCCCTTTGTCCGCAGCCATCTCCTCCTCTCATCACCAGCGCACGCCGCCACCTCGCCGCACGTCTCTCTCCTCTCTCGCATTTCTCGGTCTCCGCGGCCGGACACCGCTGCCCACGGCCGCGCGACACCACAGCTCTTCTCTCTCTCTTGCAACGCCAACGAAGCCACCACCACCTCGCGCGACTCCAACCCAACCGCCGCCTCTCGCTCGCGCCACACCCCCTGGCTCCACCGTGCGCCGCCGTTCCTCCTTGGCCGCGACCCAAAGCCCTCGTACGTTCTCTCTCCTCTTCGCAACTCCCACCTTGCCGCCGTTCCTCTCAACTCCCTCCACCACAGCGCAGGGGTGGGGGAGGGGGGTTGTGGGTAGAGGGGTGGCGGGCAGAGGGAGACGGAGGGGGAGCTTTTGCAGGGGTGGCGGGGCTGAGGGAGAAGGCGGGGGGAGGGGGTGGCGGGGCAGAGGGGGATGGCGGGACAGAGGAGGAGAAGGGGAAAGGGAGGAGAGGGGTGGCGGAGGTAACGGGGAAGGGGAAGGGGGAAGGAAGAAGAAGAAGAAAGAAAAGAAAAAGGAAAGAACGAAAAAGAAAAAGAAAGAGAAAGAGAAAAGGAAAGAAAAAAAGAAATGGAAAAAAAATTTCACCTTACAAAAACTTCTACAAAATTTTTTCAAAAACTTCTACAGTGCACTACAGTAAAATTTTAGACAAACTCCCAAAAAACTCAGATTCCAAACAGGCCCATCAATCACATGCAATGCTTATTGTGACATATATCTTGCACTCTCACTGCTGAAAGTTCTCTAGAAAAGAATGTCCCTATTATACATAATTAATTACTAGCATAAGATGAGCAGGATGAGGTTTTTTTTTTTTTTTTTTTAATATACTAGGGGTTGGGTTGGGTTGGGTTGGGTGGTACGGGGGAGGGAGTGTAAGGAAGAGGTCTTGGGTTCGAATTCTGCTGTTTACACTAAAAAAAAAAGAACATACTACAAGATATTTTCAGTAAGTTTAGAACATACTACAGGCGAGAACCAAACACAGAAAATTAGGAAAATATTTTCCTGGAAAATATTTTCACCCGAAACAAACGGACCCTAAAATATTTTGCACATGTCGTGTTTTGAAAATGTCACTACCGTGTAGATGGACCTCTAACTTTTAGTGGTCTTGCAACTTTTGTCTTCCCCCAATGAAACTCTTTGATACCTTCAAAAGGGAAGGGAATGGTAGACCGTGACAGGCAATGGAACGCATACCAATTGTTATCTGCATACATGCTTCATAAATGTTCATACTTGCTGAGTTTCACTACTGCCATAATGTCAAACAAGATGAATCTACAAAACAGCTTTATATGAATAAGGAAATATTAGCTTGACTTATCATGCTGAAATGAAAATTTTCTGCCACAAGAACAATCACTCACCAAGCCAGGGAAGTAATCCTGGCTGAAGAACTCTATCTGATTCCACAGTCAAGAAGAAAATTCTTATTTGGCCTTTACTTGATTATAATCCCTACTTTTCCACGATCAATTTTGCTCTTGCATGCCCAGCCTCAATCCGAAATTGTTCTCCTAATCCAAAATGAGCCATCAGTAGCCAAACGAAAGTAATCAGCTCACCCCCTTTACTGAGCTCCTGAGCATGAGCATTTGCACGGCAGTGACTGGCAGCGTAGGACAACAGTTCCACCCACACTTTGCTCATCATCTCCCACGTTTGATCATCCTTCAGTTTTCTCAATTCCTTTGCGAGCCTACAGGCATCAAACAACACTGATTTGCTTCTGTCACCCTTCACATAAATGGGTTTAACCTCTGTATCTACATTAAGTAGCTTTTTACATGCAGCACTTTGTCGGGTTGTTGCTGAACTTGACTCTCTTGCATGGGGTGTATTCTTGGCTGCGACGTAGATGTTCAATTTCGAGCAGATATACAAGGCTGTTGAAATTGATGGCCTTGATTCTGTCTTCCACCTGCTGAAAAACTTCTTAGCTTCTTCACACGTGTCCTGAAATCGAATCTGTCCAATGCCAGCAACGGCAGACATCATTGTAGGCCGCATAACCAAGAGATACAACATATAATCAGATATAAGCTTGCAAAATTCACGACTGGAATTTTCAGCATTAGAACTTGTGGAATAGCATAGCTCAGTGGCAATATGCCACAGCAACAGGCTTTCATCATAATCAACTTCCTCACCTACACTTGATGAGATGGTGTCAGATCTGCTGCGAATGTAACCTGACAGAGCCCGTTGACCTCTTGCCGAGTATATTTCTTTGGCATCTTTATTGGTTTCTGCCTTACGAGCTTTATCCTTGAGCTCTTCAAAGATAAATACTTTCAAATTATCCGGAATGACAAAGTCCTTTTTGTATTTCATTTCATCAAGAAATGCCTTGAGTCCAACGGTTTCAGCTGCAATATCTAACCATCTCCACCGCTGATTCAGGCAAAAATTGATCAAGTTATGCTGCGAGATTGTATTAGACCACCTTCGATGAAATGACAGCTTGTCACGGACCTCAGATACAATTCGTTTAACTCTGCCAGTCTTAAGCCCAACTACAGTCCAGTCAGAGAAAATGACCTTAATCAAAGCCACAAGATCCAAGCCAACAGCACCATAAAGCAAAATGTAGGTAACAGTAACATCAAAATGATTGATCTCAGGACTACGATGTGATTCAAATTCCACAAAAGAAAGCACTATAAGTACAGAGCAGATGAAACGGAAAACAAAACCTATGTAACCGTGTACCACAGCCATCTTAGTGTAGAGAGAATCATACATGAAATTGAGCTCCACCTCCATCACTCTGAAAGCATCATGGGTAGCCCTTCGGGAGAAGAAGCTTCTGCTTTGATTACGTTCATGGAAGCTAAACATATGGTCAACAATCAGCCCCCTAAAATTGGTGAAAAATTCATACCCCTTCTGCACAACTTCTAGGTGAGTTATTTCTTCAGTAGTCCAATCTGGAATTTCAGAAGTCTGAGAGCCTCTCTCAGGTTCGTTCTCTATTTTTATCCTAACCGGAACATCAGCAGCTTTCCTAGATGAGTACTCCTCCATAAGCTGAACATAATTTGGTCCAGCATCTGGCATTGGAAGCATAGAAGCCTTGAAATTACCCAAGCAACCTAAATATAGAGCACGAGTTCGCTCAGCATATTTAATAGCTCCAGCTAAAAACAAGAGTATTGTTGGAACTGAGAGTACATTCTTGATGGAGTGGGCAAAGACGTAAGCAACAGCAACAAGCTGAATGACAAGCCCAAGCAGATGCCGGATCCACAACTCATTATCTTCAAGGGAGAAAGCAGTGATGTTATCAGGGCCACCAAGATGTAACAATAAAAATGGAGCCCAAAATGCCGCAAGATCTTCATTTACTCTGAATTTATCAGGATTGCCATTACTTTGGCCATTAGAGATAAGTCCAACAGCAAAAGCAGCAAGCCAATCGGCAAGCAGATAAACAGACCATATTATGGCATTCACTATTCTGCTTCCTGTTCGTTTCCGCAATGTTGCTAAGGATATTAACACCATTTGGAAGAAAAGACTAATAAGGACTGCAGCGCGAAGATTCCACTCATGCCACAGCCTCTTTACCATGTGAGGGATGAGGGAGGCCATGTATTCTTTTTGCTTCTTTCCCTTCTTTCTTCTCTAATAAAATCAATCCAGCTAGCCTAGACAAACTGGAGGGAAGTCAAGACAAATTTCAACATGAAATTAAATGCCAATTTGAGATTTCTGAAAAAAAAAATGCATGCATTTCTCTAAATTAATTGCATCTTGTAGAGCTCGAAGAACAAATAAACAGGAACTTCCGTTGTTAGATGTTACTGTTACAAGTGAAAAGTTTTTGAATACCCTCCACATGTACAATAAGAACTCTATTACCAGTTTCTGCAAGCACTCACTCTGTCCTCAGTATGTCTCGCAAATGGAAGTGTTTAAGAAACCTTGACGACTTCCAAATAACTATCGCTTATTTCGAGAGGATATTTGCAGAAAATATTAATTTATATTAGTCAAACAATTTAGCTATCTGTACCTTGCGGAATTTCCATCTTGTTACACAACATCATAACCACAATCTCTCGGGCACTCCGTCGTCCATTTGTAACGATCAGGTGCTAGTAAAAATCATTTAGATTACTTGTTCAAGTAAAATGGCACTAAAACAGGTTAATTTCATTGGTTAAATCTCACGACTATAGTTTCTGTTTATAAGGCCGGGCAACATCACAAGCCCTGAAACCAATCCTACTTTTTGAACTTCCTATGACTTTTGAGGATGCTGCAAATTGAACACTTCTTGGGCTTAATCCTTATATTTAAATGTTTTATTATGTGTTTCATTGTTAGAACATCATTGTTTGATATCAGAGTGCAATTACTATCATCAAAGGAGCAGGTAATAAAACTTAAAAAACTATTGTCACCCCGATTAATCTCCCAATTCCCAAGCTAGCTTTTCCAGAGGTAATACCAACTGGTAAACTTTTCAATGCTAAAGCTAAGCCCTTTTTGCAAGTTTAAACACCAGAGTTCAAGACTGCCTCCTACCAAAAAAAGAGAAGAAAAGAAAAGAAAAACCCACAAGCATTGCAAGAATAATACTACCTCCTAAGAACCTTTCTTCCATAATCCAACTTCCTGGAAGCTAGAGCATGCATATACACTAAGTGCTTGTGTTTATGTGTGTGACTGAGTGTGTGAGAACTCAGATCTAAAAAAAAAAACTGAAGAGAAGTCTTCTATGCATGCTCAGAATGCACATATTATTGCTCAATCAATTCTGAACATAAAATCAATTAGCAAGAAACCAGACTGTCCAATATGTTGCTGCCTGAATTACAGCTGATTCTTCTAGTCAAGGTAGAATGATAGATCTTACAAGAATGTTCAAACAAAACTTTAAAGATCACAAACAAGCAAACATGGTAGTAATCAAGACCCATAACACGAAATGAACCCATTATTTACCTGAGCTGAGTTTTGCAATTCTTCCTTCATTTTCTTTGTAGTATTCACTGACTTGAAGAGTAAAGTTGTCATTGCAGTGTGATTGTGTACGACTACACACAGCCAATCGAAAGGCCAGCGTCGAATGCTTACAATGCACTTCGTTACTGGGACCGCTCGATACGTCTTTCAAAAATCAATCGCGCCTTTTCACGCCAAATAGATGCATTTTCATTTTTTTAGCCTCATTTCTAACTTTACCGAAAATGTAAAATCTCATTTCTTTTTGTAATTCACAGTTTTTAGCTCCTATTTTTTGGTTAGGAGAGAAAAAAACGCTCTTAATCTTTTAAAGATAAAATAATAAAATGTTTTTTATGTTTTAGGACTAAAGTATTTTGGTACATAGTACCAAACATTTCAAAAACAAAAGAAGGACAAAAGTTTGATGAGACAACACCATGAATTGGATCTTCTCTATGGATTTCCCATCTATTTCCCACAGTATACATCTTGATCAATGACACGCGTTCCATTTATTAGAAAATGACAAGATCATTTTTAAGTTTGACTAATTCTAACTCTTATTAACAAAATGAATACACGCATTATGCATCTAGAAGTGCATTTTATATAATGAAGAGAGGATTCACAAATGGCATGTAAGAGAGGGGAACGAGGCATAATATGTTTTGGTGGGATTGGTGGCGAGTTGGGACAGCGTTGAAGTAAGTTTTACTATCGTCATTGAACAATCTATGAATTGTCCTATAAGTTACTTATCACCAATTAAAACTTGCCAACTAGATAACACAGTTGGGAAAGATTAATTTTTACTATCTTATCAAACAATAACAAGAACAATCATATGTCCCTTCTTCTCCTCTATTCATTCATTATTATCTCCTAAATTCTGTCCTTTCATAACCAATTAAAACTTGTCAACTACACAACTAATGGGTCTAGTTAGGAAAGATTAATTTTTGCTATCTTATCAAACAATAACAAGAATAATTATACGTCCCTTTTTCTCCTCTATTCATTCACTATTATCTCCTAAATTCTCTCATCTCCTACCTTGCTACTACAATTACCCTCTAAAACTAGGAGTAGCTACGGGTCATATCGTGTACTTATCATATTGTGTCGTTGTCGTATTCGTGTCAAAAAATCTCAAATCTAACTTAATCCATTAGAATGTTTTCATGTTATGTCATGTCATGTAATGACTTGTTTTGTTAATGGGTTGATTCGACCCAACGCGCTATAATTCATTGAACAGTTTATACGATTAAAATAATTTTAATACTATGCATTATTTTGCTAAATTAACCTACTAACCTATTTTAACCGAATTGATCATGTAATCCATTCGATGTTGTTGTTAAAGCACCCCATAAATTTTTTGAGATACATAGTCAATACAAAATTTTAGGTTTTTCAAAACATTCAAAAGATAATAGATGATGAAGTTTTCTAAGCATAATGTAAGTTACAAAATCGGCCTTGTTTGGATTGTTCTTTTTTGAAAATTTTCTCTATTTTCTTAAATATTTCTTGGGAAAATTACCATTTTAGTCCTTAAACTATTTCACTTATGTTAATTTCATCCCTCAATGTCTTTTTAGCCTAATTTAGTCCTTCAACTTAAATTTCTTGTCCAATTAAATCCTTTCATAGACACACCACTAATTAAAATATTTCTAGCACAAAATCACCACCCAATTAAGGGCAATCCAGGAATTACAAAGTTAGGGCCAAAGTTAGAACCCCAAAAAAAAGATTTCCATTAAAAAGGGGAGAAACACAAATTTTCCACCAAATTGGGAAAGAAAATAGAGATCGTCAAAAGAGCATTTGAGTTATCCTTCTACGTCAAAGCATTTTGCCCGACCCAAGTCATACCTAGTCTCTTAACAAAATTTTTCACTATTACTACCATCTACTAATAATTATCAACCACAACCTTTCCTTGAGCATCACCATCTTCTCTCATTACATATTTCATCTCTTGGATTCCATCGCCTTCTCATTCTTTTTTTTATTTGTTCTTTTTCTCACGAAGATGGCAAAAATTTAGAAAATTGATGAAGTTTCAAGGCATAGAACTTATGGAATTAAATTGTCAATGCTTTTCAAACCTATTGTGTCTCAAATAGAGAGGAGATAAGGCTTTTCCCTCTTCACTCCAGTACCATCACCAATATTATCATAAAAAGCTCTAAGAAATTCATTCAAGTCCTCTATCTACCTTCCATCAAATAGAGGTTGAAAAACTAGAAATACCTCCATAGCAAGTCTAGGGGTTGCATACCTAGAAAACCATGGTGGTTCATGAAACTATAATTCTTTTAAACATTTCATCAAACACATTCGGGCCTCTTCAACAAAATGCAATCTAGAATACATATTGAGTAAATAACTATACACAATGTAGAGTACATATTGAGCAAAAAAAAACTGCTCGCAAAAATATCCTACAAATGAGCTGCTTTTACGACAATCACGCAGACTTTTTTTTCCAATTAATGAATCCACTAGAATTAACAATGTAGCAATACTGGCAGAGAATATGTGAGAGTTAAAAGGAAAAATTGCAGTGCCTCATTTGTAAAAATATTTACAAATTCAAAGAGGATACTTGACTGTCTAGTTGAGAAAGACCATTGATTTAAGAGTTAAAAAAGAAGATGTCCTTGTTTCGGAAGTTTGTCAAAGAAGATTGGTGACATAGTTGGCGATGAATTGTTCACCAGTGATAAATGTAGATGAAAATTGGGATCTTCTTTTACAAATATTTTATTTTTCTCCCCAATTTAGAGTAAAATCTTTGTTTTACCCCATTAGATGAAAAATTTTCAGATTTCATTATTTTAATGTAGGAAATGACTTGAACTTCCATTCTTGCCCTTGTTTAAGCAATGCCTTCTGTATTGAAAAGGTTTAGTGGGTGGTGCTGCCATAAAAGGATCTAAATTGAACAAGAAATTTTAGTTGAAGGGCTAAATTAGGCTAAAATAACATTGAGGGATGAAATTGGCTTAAGTAAAATAGTTCAAGGACTAAAATGGCAATTTTTCCATATTGCTTATATACTTTTTCCAATTACCTTTTATCTCATATACACCACGTCTTAAAAATTCTCCAAAAATATTTTAGAAAATGCGATCCAATCAACCTTTTAGAAACACGATCCAATAGTTTCATATATGATATGGATAATTTCAAAAATCTCCCCTGAGATTTTTGACAATTTCACTAGTGTCCCTTGAAGTTTATAAAATTGCACAAACGCCCCTGAGGTTAAGGTTTTAATAACAAAATTAGTTCAAATAGAAAAAGTAATATTAAAAAGTATTTGAAGGAGAGAGATGAAACTTTGATTCCATAAATACCTCTTATGCATATATGTAAGTTATACTAGTAAAAGAATAAAATAATTAAAAGTTAGAAACAATTAGTACACATATTTCATCACTCAAAAAGTTCATATTTAATAAATTAAGCGACATAAATAAGCAAAAAATCTACATTAATGATCACAAGATTTAGCAAAACAGACTAATCATCTCTTTTAGCATGATGTTTGTTATGATTTTGGTGATTTTGAATAGAAAAATTTTCAAAATTTCTCTCCTTCATCCATTAGGTATATCAATTAATGTTATTTTGTAAATACAAGTCATCATTCATCATTAAAGAAATTTTTAACAATTATTTTCATTAAGTAGTTACTAATAGTTAATTGGTGTCTAATTATTTAATTGTTAGATATTAATAAAAGATAATAGAGGAAGAAAATTTTTTCTATTCAAAATCACAAGAATCATAGTAAACATCATATCAAAAGAGATGACTAATTTATTTTGTTGAATTTTGTGATCATTAGTGTAGTTTTGTTGCTTATTTGTATTGTTTAATTTATTAAATATGATCTTTTTGAGTGATGAAATATGTGTATTAATTGTTTCTAATTTTAATTATTTTTATTCTTTTATTAATACAACTTGTATACATGCATGAGAGGTATTTATGGAATAAAATTTTCATCTCTCTCTTTAAGTATCTTTTAATGTTATTTTTTCTAATTGAACCAATTTGACTATCAAAACCTTAATCTCAAGGGAGGTTTTTGTAATTTTACAAACTTTAATGACGGCTAGTGAAATTGTCAGAAACCTTAGTAGAGGTTTCTGAAATTATCCCTATATGATAAGATATAAAACTTGTGAGTTTTTAAAAGGGATAATTTTAGAAACCTTCCTTGAGGTTTCTAGTAATCTTAGACAGCTCCTCTCACGTTTTGAAAATTACACATACCTCTCCTAGAACATAGGGGTTTCATCTTGATGATATAAGACCAAAAAAGTATATGAATGCCCAAAATTGCCCTCATCTAAATTTCCTTAATATGAATAATCATTCAAATATTTTAAAAGTCGAGAATACACTTGTATATTACCAAAATTATGTGTTTTATTGATCAACTAATATCTCGATATTTTCCATCCCCATAATTTTTGATGAGTGCAGGGTATGCATATAACAATTAAACTCATTCCATAATCAAATTTTACATTTATAAATTTTTAAATATCTCACACGCAATTTTCTACAAGTATAAAGGTCATGGGCGAGTATAGGATATTAAGGGTCAAACCCACAGAAACAATTGTCAATTATCAATGGTTTTCGAACTTCTTTATTATTTAGACTACCACAAATGCAACAAATTAAATCTATACTATAAATATGAAATATAAGTAATATAAATAATAATAAAAAACTCCTAGAAGTATGGAATTCCTCACTACTCTTGCAAGTGAAATTACCGATTAATTGAATGTTATTATCTTGATTAGTTATGGCGTAATTTTCTCATGTATGTGAAATCTACTCTTGTAGTGAATCAACTATACTTGTAACTAAGCTATGCCTAATCTTGAGGCTATAAAATTAATTACAAGTTCATTTTTTCTATGAAATTATATAAAACAATTCACTAAAGCCATATCGGTGCACCTCTACTTTCTGAGTGTACTCGCTAAATTTTTCACTTCCTTGAACTAGTATTAAATCCCAATTCTGACAAGTTTAACATCTCAAGA